ACCTGACACAGTCATGCAGATTGAAATGCTTTTAATGAGCTAAACATTTTTTACTGGATATTTTCTTTATGTTGTTCCATTACAAAATACAGTTTTGAAGCACAGAAATGCTAGATCCAAGTGCAATAAGAGGATTTGGAAGTTACCCCCTACTCCAGTGAAACCATGTAATTCACACCATAACTGTTATACAATTTGTAAATAAAAAACATCCTAAGTAAAGAATATAACAGCATTAGCAAAGGCTAATGGTTAAAGGTAAGGTTAGTGGTGCCTCATACAAGTCAGTTTGATTCTGTAGGGCCTGAGCAACTTGGTCCCCATTCCTTCCTATTGGAATAGGGCTCTATTTATATGACAACTAAATGGTAGGCTAGGGATAATGCTGAGTTGGAGAGTTTGGAGTGTGTATCCTCACTGTCCAGCAGGGGTAACAGAAGGCACAGCTTCCAGGAAGCTGTATACATGAAAATCAAGGAAACCAAGGATTTGGAAAGCCCTCAAGTTATCTGGACACAGGTTCCACATGCAAGGATGAACAGGAATATGTATTAAGCCTTTAGCCATGTTGCTTGACCAGTACCTAGTTCACAGTCATAACCAAGTGTTACAACCCTCTTTTAACCCGCAAACTGAGCTGAACCTTTGACCAGTGAGATCTCTTTCAATCATTTGAATTCAGGCTTTCAAATTCCAGCCACTATCAATCTTGTGTTTTCAACTTTGCATTTCAGTTAGTCATTGTTCCTAATCTGACCCATCAAGCTTATCATCGTGTGAGATTGCAAAGTTTCCACAGGATGTACAAGACTTCTTCCTAAGCGAGGAAACCAGTGAAGCTACTGAAGCTGGAATATTCGGATCTGGCCTGATCTACAAAGGAAGCACATTAAAAGTGAGGGAACCCAAGCCTTATTTGACCAAGCAAAGTGAGAGAATGTGTGCCACAAGTACACCCATTACAGCCTGGATCCAGGATTCTGGATTAAATTACATGAATTCTCCTAATTTTGATACATTTTTAATGAGGCAGATTGAAAAAGTATTTTGTTTTTGTAATGCTGTTAAATATTATTCAGTGTTGAAAAGTGTTTCTTATTTTAGTTTGAGTTTTGTGTTACTGCCCCATCTCGAGAGGGGGCACCTCCAAGTGATTTATCAATGTTATAGTTGATTATAATATTTTACAATGTTAAAGTGTTTTCCTGGTATTCTGTTTTTCTTTTAATTTAACTTTAGCTTTGTGAATAGTTTTTGTTTGTCTCTCCATTCTTAAAGTGGACAGTGTACCTCAGACAGCATTTTAATTATCTTTGCTTTCTTCGTTTTATTTTTTATGTATCTATTTATTAATGGATTTTTTTAAAGGGTGTTTTTGTTATGTTTTCTGTTGATTTGAAAATTTTTGATCAAGGTTTTCACTATTATTGTTTTGTGATGTAACATTTGTGTTTTTAACTTTGTTTAAAGGTTCTTTTGAATTATAGTTTTGGGTGATGTTTGATTGAAAGTATAGTTAAAAGATTTTATTCTTTATAAATACATCTTTGTTCAAAGTTTTTTAGGCTTTTGTAGTTTTTTGCATCTCACTTGTAAAAAAGGTTCTATTGTCTGTATGATGTGTGCTTTTTGAAATAAGGTGCTCTTTAATCTTGTCACGAGTTTAAAGGTGATTGGTTTTAAAGTTAAATTTAATTATTGGCTTGGAGCAAACCTGAAAGAGAATAGGGATGAAAGGTGTTAAAAGGTTGGCACATTGTTTGTTTTCTGTTTTAGTGAAATTGAAATTTTTATGTTTCAGTTATTTAGTTTCCACACTATAAGGGCAGCCACTCATGGTCCAGAAAAATAACTTTTTCTAGTTATTATATTTCTTTGTTGTCTTTAGTGGGTAATGTCTTTTCTGCCCAAGAGGATATTGCAAAAATATAAAGCATCTGAATTAAAAGAACTGGCACTGTAATATATATTTTGCTGATCAAGTTTGACGTTCACTTAATGTAACAGCTGATCAATGTCGTGAGAGATCCAAGGTCATGAAGTGATGCTTTCAACTTGACAAATGAAGTGTACCTGATTATATCCAGCATACTTTCTTTGGGCAGTTCCACTGGAAGATTTATGAGTAAAGACTTACTTTTAAGAACAGTATGTTTAGTTCAAAGGTAGTCTATCCCTATGAAAAGAAATCTTTGGGACTAAGCCCAGCTTAATGAAATGAATGTCTTTTTCTATGTACAAGAATATATGCTGCATTACCTTTTTGTCTTCTCTATAAAAATATTGTATTCATTTTTACCAACTTTGTCCAATATCATTATTTAACATATACTAATGAGACGTTGTTATCTGACAAGAGTCACTCTTCATGTATCATAAGTATATCTGTAGGTATTTGTGGATCTTTCTATCTTGAAATTGGTATATTTTACCTGAAAATATCACATTAGTAGTATTCTAAATGTATGAGTTATTTCTGAATGTATTTAGTTTTCACATAATCTGTGGCCAAGAAAATTGTTAAGTTCATATAATTTTAGCTGCCTTTTTTTACCTTGTGATTCTCTTAAAGTCATATATTTTGCCCATTGGGGAAGTGGACATGGCTGAAATGCTGCATATGGTGTAAGAATGTAGACAGCAGTGTCCTTCAGTGGTATGCCAGGTGATATCTCAAAGTTACAACCTCCTTTACATTTCAATGAAAATGGCCCATTACGTTGGCCATGTTAGTTGCCCTGAGTAAATCTTACATTACCTGGAATGTTAGAATTAAACATTCAATGGATGAAAATCTTGCATATGATCTTGAGGAAGATAGGTGGCTGATCCAATAAAAGCAACCATCCACTGTTAATCAATTAATTAAACACTGTGTTTGTGTTATAATAAAGAATTTTCATATGTATTTTATATTGAATCCAGTCTCTTTAGTTCTTTCTCTCCAACTCAGTTCTTAAAGAGAAATTCAGAATTACTCTGTAGTAGATACCTTGAATCTCCTGTTATTCAATGGACCTACACCATTGCTTGAAGGAAATTCAGTTGGACCTGAATATACCACAATGTTCACCATTTAATTTCCTGATATAATTTTTAAAGATAAAGTTTATAAGTCTTTTCTTCTTGTGTAAAAATGAAAAATGTAGAGAATAATTTAATGATACAATATATATATATATATATATATATATATATATACACATTTGTAATAATTGAAAAAGTGGTAAGATATTTTTAAATAACAGATAACAATAATTATTTCAAAATGAGACTGTAACCAGTCTCAAGTTTTTTATATTTATTGGGTTAATGTTTTATTGTATTTTGAGTTTTTCAAATATTTGTTGTGTACCATTAAATGTTGTTTTTTATAATCTTTGTTATTTAAAATTTAAATAAGTATTATCTTCTTTTTACTTATAATTTCAGTTCAAAAGGTTCAACACATATTTGATTGTGTTTAACTCTTACCATAACACAATAAAATTTTATATAAATTTCTTTCAGATCCCTACTCCTTTTGCAAGTCATGCCTTTCATCCACTTGATGGATTTCTTCAGAGTGTCCCTTACCATCTTTATGTCTTTCTCTTCCCCATGAACAAATATGTCTACCTTGTATTGTACATTGCTGTCAACATCTGGACAGTTTCTATCCATGATGGTAACTACAAAGTGCCAGCTGTCCTAAAGCCTGTGATTAATGGATCTGCCCATCATATGGATCATCATGTGTTTTATAACTACAATTATGGTCAGTATCTCACACTTTGGGATAGACTTGGAGGATCATTTCGCAATCCTAGTTCTTATGAAGGTAATGGCCCTTTGGAAGAGGTATTAAAAATTAAAGACACCTAAGTGTCACAGAATTTGTCATTCACAAACCATAGGCATGAAATGTTGGTGATCACATAGCTGTTATTCAAAAGACAAAATTATCTAAAATAAAAAATGTAATGTGATTTCGAGATTTTATTATTCATAAAACTTAAGTACCGGTTTATACAATGAATAAATGTTTAGACTGTTGACTTAAGATTTTTATAGCCTGGTGATTTACTATGTTAAAAGTTCAGATGTTGTTATATGTAATTTCAGAATTTATGTGAATCAGTAACAATAAATGTAAAATGGTTAATTTAGGTTGTTACTAAAAAATTTATAAATTTGTTATAGTTAAGTTGCCAAAGAATATTGTTGGCTCATGACAAAGACCAGTGTTTTTGAGGGTTTTATTACTATTTGAAGCTATTGAACAGGGAAGATGATTAGAAATAAGATATTAGACAAAGTATTTAATAGTTATTAGTACTAGACAAAAATATTAAAAATTGTTGAAATCAAGTAAAAAGGTTTCCCCTCAGAAAAAAATTATATATTTGTTTTTAACTTTCAGGCATAGCTCTTCTGGATTTAGTGTCACTGTACAAAAATTATAAACAAAAATTGTCATTATGTCAGTGCAATTTTTTAAAAATGTATATAGAGCATTATATACATTTACTATAGTTCTATACACTAGTAAATTCAGATTACAGAGCTTGTGCTATAGATACTCAAGAACTATTACTACAAAATTGCTATTGTGGGTACTAAAGTAATACTGCTAAGTAATTATTGGGTTGCTATCGCAATAATATATAAGTTACTATCAATTTACTTGAATGGTATTGTGATAATAAATGATTATTGTTGAAATGACCACATAGTCACTACAGCACTACATCTGTTTACTATGTCAACATAGTGGAATTTATAACAATGTAAATAATGCAGTGTTGGTATATGAAACAATGTATTTTATGGTGCATAAACTAGAAAATAAAAAGTTTGCACTCTTTAACCAATGAAACATTGTATTTATTTTAGCTAGAAAAAAAATGGTGGAAGCATTTATCAAAATAAATAGTTTTTAATTAAACATTGATCACTTTATTCTCCATTATGGTTAGCCAGTTTTGTACTTTGTCGACTAGTATAGTTTTTGGCACACTGGAAATTTCAGTATTCAGTAACATTAGTCTGTACTGATTTTTTCATTGAGGAAGGTGTTAACATGGGTCAACAAATTAACTTCTTTCACAGCTTGTGGTGCTAATTAGTAATGTGAGTTAGAACACTATGACTGGTTACATTTTATATATTGTATTTACATAGAATGCTGACATTGATGGCATGTTTCTGCATTTGGTACCTAAAATTTCCTTTATCGATTGCCATTCTCATAATAATTCATTTTTAACTAGCAAATTATAATTGCAAAAAATGTTCAGCAACTATGTTTATCCTTCCATTTCTGAAAGTTAAAGGGTCTCTGTATGCAATATACATAGGCAACAAAATATATAAACTTTTCAGTTTTGCTGAAAACACTTAATTTGTTGCTTTTTTTTTTTCATTGTTAAGTACATTATTTTCACAGTGGCTAGTGTACTGAAACTCTGAGGTTATGTCTTCATATGGCACTTTATTTTTAAATAAATCTTACAATCTGTGTTTGAACCATGCAGATCTGTCAGTTGCTTGTGACAACTTGTGCAGTTACTGTTAATAAATGTAATTTGTGCTTTTGAAAGTAGTTCTTTTTAAACTGTGTAAATTATCTGTTATGTATAAAGTAGTAGCCAGAGTAGCTTGTAACATACCTTGATTTAGCTAATCAGATTTTTGATAATGCTCTTTGAAATTTCAGTCATCATATAGGAAATACTTGATTCTTTTCACTTAAAACTTCATGTAGTATCCTGATTTTCTGAGGACTGCATTCTAAATACTTATAAACTTTGTTAATTAAATCCTTGTTACTTATTAATTAAACTACATCAATTACAGCTTGAGTACTAGTTTGTTTTTCTCTGTTCAATCATCTATGCCCACTTCCCAGTCTGTTGCTTCAGTTTGTTAAATACAAAAATTAAAAAATTCTCACAAATGTAGGGTGACAAAATTGACAATTTCTATGTACAAGATTGGCATAAAATAAGTGTTTACAAATGTACAGGCTTATGAAAATTTGCTGAACACAACTTTGAAAGAAATCAGACCTTTGGTGATGCTTCAGGGTGACCTTAAAACTGTATTTGCTTATCATAATGAAAATCATTAGGAAATGTACAGCTTTTATCTTAGAACTTATTCATTTATTCACTTACTAACTAGTAAGATTGTTAGTACATGAGCAAAAAAATCACATTCAACTGCAGTCTGTTGTTGAAATGGATAGAGGACATACTGAACATTTAATGTACTATATTCTGAAGATAGAATAGTTTACTTTTAAGTTGATCTTGTACACCTAACAGTATTCTGATTCAGAATCATTCCACATTTGAAGTTCTGTGTTTAATTTCTAAATTGAACTCTTAACAATGCTAAGGATTAAGTTAATAGTGGATGCCTCTAATTTTTCAACAACTGTAGATGCTCAAGTTAAATGTAGACACCCAAAGTCATTGTTATGAATTTCTATGTACAGGACTGGCATAAGATAAGTGTTTATAAATGTACAAGCTAATGAAAATTTGCAGAACACGACTTTGAAAGAAAATAGACCTTTGGTTACACTTTAGGGTGATCTTAAAACTTCAAAAAGCATTTCTAAAGTTATGGTTTAGCAAGACATTTTTTTTTCCAATTGAAAAAACCAAACAGCTAATAGAAATGCTAGGAATGCCTCATAATGTTTACTTGCATAGAGAAGTCACCTTTAATATAAGCCACACCTTCATAATTAGAGGGTGAAAAAACAAAATCAATACAAGCTGCACATGGTCATATAACACTTCATAGTCAGTACAAAGCTGTAAAAGTGTGTGTATATAATTCAATCTGAACATTAGACACACATAGGTAATTAGACTTGAAACAATAATGATAATTATGTAACAATCTAAAATAAACACACTGCTATAACCAGGGTTCAACAACTGTAACGACTCTTGGAATAAAATTTAACACTTACCAAAAATACAGTTAATAAACATGTGCCCTGCCAGAACTTGTTACTAATGTTAATGAACAATAAAACATAAACACCAATATTAATTATTTTGAATAATGGAATCAGTAAAAAGAACCAATGTTGGAAAGTTCTCCCCCATTCACCATATTCTCCAGATATGGCACCATCAGATTACCATCTTTTTTGTTCGCTGCAACATCATCTTAATTGGAAAACATATGCAAATATGGAAGGTATTAAAGAGGATATCAACATGTTTTTTGCTTCAAAGCCAAGTGATTTCCTTAATCAGGGCATGAACAACCTCATTGTAAGATGGTAAAGCATCATCGATAAGAAGGGAGACTATTTCATTTAATAAATGTTTTGTTTTGATATATAAGTTGTTTGGGTTTTTCAACTAAAAAAAGCAACATTAATTTATTGACGATCTAATAATTGGTAGTTAAAACAAAGCTGTAAAGATTATTCATACAAATCACTTTGAACATAAGGTACATTTAGATAATTAAAGGGAGTAAGCTAAAAAGAGTTTTTTTTTCTTTTTTGCATATGAGCTACATTCAGTGTTGTAAAGACATATGGTTAAAAGTTGCTCTGAACATAAGCCACTATGATATTTTAAGTTAAAATCAATTTTTCAACAAGAGTGAAAATGTCCCATAAAAACCTTAGAGCTCACCCAAAACTTTATGAGGGTTTTCTGTGTGGGGTAAGAGGGAAAACAGTGAGTCTTGATATGTTCTTAATAGATAAACAAAATTATATTTCAACAATCAGTAGAAAAACAATGCACATACCCACATTGACAGTTGAAAGTCATCTGTCTCATGTGGGTGTTCAGTCTTGTGGCTATACTTCTCTCAAGATTGAATGATACAACCCCAAATACGAAGATCTTTCAACAAAAAAACAAAACAAAGAACAGGTCCTTCCTCTAGATTATCCAGGGGAGAGCTGTATGAAAACTCTAATGAAGGTACCCTGCTCATTCTGTTTTATTATCAGTTGAGTAGATTCTATATCTAACTACATGTTACTCTTTATATTGAATAACTCTATCTGGCTATATCTATTGAGTAAACTCTCTATCCTATATATCTTAAGTAATCTCTACCTTACAATATCTATCTTCATATACCTATTAAGGAAATTCTCTGTCTTCCTATATATATATTGGGTAAACTTACTATATCTGTTCAGTTACCTCTATTTTACTATATTTATATGTATACAGCTATTATTATTTTCTTTAATGATTCAGTTTAGAATATTAAGATCTTGATATCATTACATGTATTAATTAAAGTCTCTGCCTTACTATCTATTGCATAAACAAACTTATTAAACCTACTAAGTGAATTCTCGCTTAATAGCTATTCATTAAATACTATCTTAATATATATATATATTTAGTAAATCCTCTATCTTACTATTTATACTGAATAACTTCTTTGTCTCAAATATCTATCGAGTAAATTCTGTATCTTCCTATACATGTTGAGTAAACTGTATATTACTATATCTATTGATAGAACTCTGTAATGCTATATGGAATAAACTCAATGTCCCTATATATTTAGTAATCTTACTATATCTTTGGAGTAAATTATCCATTTTAATGTATGTGTTAGTTAAATTCTCTATCTTAATATGTCAGTTGAGTAAACTATTTTACAATGTATATATTGAGCTCTACTTTACTCCATATTCAGAATATTTGCTACCTCCCACCATCTATTCTTTGAATTATTTTGTACTCTGTGTTGAGTAAAATATATATTTTACTATCTGTTGAGTAAACTCTTGTATCTTAGTGTATTATGTAATTTTTCTATATTACTACCTTTTGCATAAATTTCCAATTTCACAATCTTTTGAATAAACACTCTTCCTTAATATATAGTGAACAAGCTATCATATAATCTTTTGTTTCAATTCCCTGTCTTACTACATATATATATACATATACTGAAACATTCTACCACACCATCTATAGAGGAAATTCTTTATGTTATTATACATATAAAATAAACTCTTTATCTTACTATCTATTGAATAATTCTCTATTTTATGTTGAATTGAATAGACTCTCAATTTAATTGTTTATTGCATAAACTATTTATGTTATTGTATCTGTTAAAAAACTTTGTCTTACTATATCTATTGAGTAAACCCTGTATCTTACTATATATATACACTGAGAAAACTATCTTTCTATCGATTGAGTAAACCCTGTATCTTACTATATATATACATATATATATACTGACAAAACTATCTTTCTATTGATTGAGTAAATCCTGTATCTTACTATATATATATACTGACAAAACCATCTTTCTATTGATTGAGTAAAACCTGTATCTTACTATATATACACTGAGAAAACTATCTTTCTATCGATTGAGTAAACCCTGTATCTTACTATATATATATATATATATATATACTGACAAAACTATCTTTCTATTGATTGAGTAAATC